CTGAGGAACTCATCGCATACTTTACTAAGAAAATAGAGCTAACTTCTTCACCCTGCTCTAGACTCTGCTCCTGACTCCCTGGACTTCTTTCTCTACCATTTTCCAGCAAACTTCTTACCTTGAAAGATCCCTCTGCCCCTGCTTCTGAATTTTCAGTTCCTCCTGGAACTTCCATTTTTAAGGAAAGGCCAAAGCTTAGGGACCACCCTACCCTCTACTTTTCACTTTCCTTTTATGTGTTGTCTTACCTATTAGAATATAAGTTCCTTGAGGGCAGGGACTCTTTTTTTTTGTTTCTGTTTGTATTACCAACACTTTGCATTGTATGTGGCACTTAGTAAATCCTTACAAAGATTTGTTGATTTATTGACATTTGCCCTGAGCTCTCTCTTCTTTACATCTAAAATGTAGTTTAGCATCATCCCTTTTTTTGTCTCCTTTATTCTAGCCTCTGATTGAGAGGTAACATTTTTGCTCCCCAAGATCAATCCTTTTGCTTGTACCTTTGATCCTATTCCTTCCCATCTTTTGTAGCAAATTGTCCCCCCACGATGTCTCCTCTCTCCAATTTATCCTTATCTTTTTTATCCTTCCTTGCTGCCTACAAATATCCCCAAGTTTCCTCTATTCTGGTAAAAAAAAAAAACAATGAACCAACAACCTTGCTAGACCTTACCATTCCCTTAAAGTATCTTTTATATCTATTCCTTTTCACAACTACACCTCTAGAAGAAATTGTCTTCACTCATTGTGTCTACTTTCTTTCCCTTCACTCCTTAAAATGACTTTTGAGCTCATCACTCAACTGAAACTACTCCCTTCAAGTTACCAATGATCTTTTAATGGCCAAATCTGATGGCCTTTTCTCATTCTTCATCCTTTTCTGATCATTGAACACTGCTAACTATCCTCTGCTCCTCAGTGCTCTCATCTTTGAGTTTTCATGGCATTGCTCTCTTGGTTCTCTCTCTGCCTGTCTGATCACTCTTCTAAAGTCTCTTTTTCTGATTTATCATCCAAATTATATTCCCTAATTGTGGCTGTTTGGCAAGGCTCTGTCTTGGGCCCACTTCTTTTTCTGTCCCATTCTCTTTACTCATACAGCCATTACCCTCAATCAAGCTCTTGTTTACCTTTTGCCTGAAGCGGTGCCTGAAGTCTCTCCCCTCTCCAGTCTGTACTACATAGAGCTACATAGAGCTGTCCAAGTTATTTTCTTGAAATACAAGTGTGATCATGTCATTTCTCTATTCCTTAAAATTCCATGGCTTCTTTTTTCCTTTAGGCTTGAATATAATCACCTGACTTTTGTCCTCTGAAGCCCTTCACAACCTGTCCCTATCCTGCCTTCCTAATCTTATGATAGATTACCCCTCCTTGCCCTGCTGATCCCCCCAAAGTGACTTTCTTTCTTTTCCTTACCCAGGACACTCCATCTCCTATCTTTGTGCCTTTTCACTGACTATCTCTCATACCTGGAATGCTCTCCTTCCTTTTCCTCTTCATCTTAGAATTCCTTGTTTTCTTAGCACAGTGCTAGGGATAGAGTTTGAATGAATGAATGAGCATTTAGTAAGCACTGAATGGTAGTTGCCAGCTGATTGATTGAGGATCAAAGGTAGTGGTTGATCATAGTGAACAGAAGAAACATTTTAAGGATACACCTAATGTCTAGTAGTGTTGCAGGATTGTAGACTTTGGGGTAAACCATTGTGGTAGGAAGGCCAATCTGAGTGTTCAAATATCAAGCACTTTTCCCAAGCAAACACATCAAGTAATGCTAATAGAAAATAGCAAACATATATAATGCTTTACAGTTTACAAAGTACTTTTTTCACTATAACTATGAGGTAGGTATAGTGCACAGTGAGGTAGCAAAGCTTCAAACAGTGTTGGCTTCTGCAGCTAAGAATTGTAGTTTCAAACTAAAGGACAGCCTTTATGTATACCTTGCTCTCTTCAAGGACCCCATCCAGGGCATAAGTTAGATGGCAAAGGCCAAATAATTTACTCTTAAGATGTCTGAGGGAGTGAGAAAACACTGCTAAAAGTGATGAGTTGATTCAACCATTCTGGAAAACAATTTGAAATTATATGAGAGAAGTTACTAAACTGCTCATACCTTTTGAAACCCAGTGATCCCACTACTAGGTATGTACTGCAGTGTGATCAAAGACAGAGGAAAAGGTCCCACATATACAAAAATATTTATAGCAACACTTTTTGTCGTAGAGAACCAGAAACAGTGATTGCCCATCCTTTAGGGAATGTGCGGACAAACTGTGGTACAAGAATATGATGGAATATAATTGTGTCATAAGAAATGATGAATATGAAGAATTCATAGAAACTTGGGAAGACTTGTATGAACTGATGTCAACAAAGTAAGCAGAACCAGGAGAACAATTTACAGGATAACTATAATAAGATATAGGGATAGTGGCTGTTTTTGTGATTCCTTAAATATAGGAAACTCTCTCTACTAAGGCAAAGCAACACCTACTCTGCAGCTTAGAGCTTTAGTGAGAGGTTAAAGGAGTTGCCTAGGGTCACATGGACAGTATGTGAGTCAGAGGCTGGACTTGAACCCCAGTCTTCCTGGCTTTGAGGCCAGCCCTGTATCTGTTATGCTACTCTGTTTCTCAGGTAATAAAAGTGATCAATATGGTGACCAGTCATGACTTCAGAAGAGGTTTAAAAAAAAGGGGAGAGGGGATGGCAGCAATAACAAAAAAAAAAAGAAAGAAAGGAAAAAATTCTGAGGAGTCCAAAGCTCGTAAAGAGATAAAGAGATGAGATCCCTTTAAGACTGAAGGTAGATTTATCCATGTTAGGCATCTTAACTAAATACTATTCTGCTAGTTCATTACATCTCCTTCCAGAGAAATGCTATTACCTATAGAACTCTAAAATTTATCAGTGCAATAGTTAACTAACCAGTTAAATTTTAGAGTTATATATGGTTTGCATAGAAGGAGCTCATCAGGGACAAGCTTCCTGTCTCCCACCTTATCATCCTATGCAATTTTATCCAGGCTTTCCTCATTTTAATTTTTTATGAGGAGACTTTGGTATTTTCCCAGTGAACTGCAGTACGAAAACAAGAGATCAGGTTCTGGGAAAAGGCTCTTACATGAAGGATCTGTTCAGGAGATCAAGTAAAAGGCACTCCCTGCCCTTTTGCTCCATTCTGTTTGAACACTGTGCTTCTGAAAAGAAGCTCCTGTCACACAGCCAGTGCTACCCAAGTGTGATTGCAGCAATTAAACTTCTCAGGTCTCTTGTATTAGAGATGTGGGAAGACCCAGACAAGTACCCTTAGGATGAAATACATTAAACAGAGATAGAAAACTCTTTGCCTTGTCACTGAAGCAAGAGAAATTGAAGCAGCAGACTCAAAAGTCACTGCTTTTTTTCTCTTTATAGATTGTGGGTATGAGGACAAAACCTTTGGGGGCAGGGAAAGGATGATAAAAGACGTTGAAGAAATGACCCCTTTTTCACCCTTATCTCCTCTTTTTTTTCTCTAGCCAGATAGTAAAGGTTCAGAGACACCCTAAAACAAAACAAAAAACTACCTATAGATACAAATAGTTTCTAATGTTAGATTTGTAGCTTTTAGAAATGAATACCTCAAGACATTATGTATAACTTGTTCAAAATCTGAAAAGATAAATTATATGCATATCATAACTTATGTCAGGGCAAAGCTCATTCTTTTAGGTAGATCAGTTGAGTAGCACAGATAATAGTTGTTTTATTTTCCAGGGCTGTACTCTAGTTCATATTTTAGCTGTTTTAATTTTTGTCATCCAAAACATTCAAAAGTACATGTGATACTTTCATTATACATGCTCCTAACAGATGGTTTTTTGGTTTTCCTCCTGTTATGCATCATGTGAATTACTTCCTTTTCTTTTGATGGATGATGTATTTCCACCCTTATCCTAGTCACCTTTAGATATTTCTGTTCCCTTGGTCCCCTCTACATATTTTAATTTTTTAAAAAATCCAACAGCATCATTACTGACCCTGAAACAAAGTGTTCTTAGACTGTTGGTGATAAATCCCTGAATCACAGTGTGCAAATGAGAGAATGCTGTGATAATAATAATAGATAGAATCAAACTGTATCACTTTTAAGTTCCAGAATTAATGGGAATTCTGAAAGTATTCAAATCTGATTGCTTTTTAAGTGAGAGTAGTAGGTTAAGAGATTAATTAGGAATGAAGACATATTAATTATTTGTGCTTTTAACTATCAAAACCCTAGTTCTTATTCCAGCTCCATAATAGTTTTATTATTTAACAAGGATTCTTAACCATTTTGTATCATGGTCTTCTTTGACAGCAGTCTGGCGAAGCCTACAGATCTCTTCTCAAAATAAATGTTTTTAAATGTATAAAACAAAACACTTAGGATTACAAAGGAAACTAATTATATTGAAATGGAGTACCGAACTATATATTTTTAAAACACAAGTTCGTGGACCCTAAGTTAAGAACCTCTAATTTAACTTGTGAAATGAACTGAGTAGTATTTATTTCATTTTATTAAGGCTCCTGAAAAAGGAGGAAAAGGTGCCTGATATAAACATAACTTTCAAGTACTGGGTATTTGTACCATTTTTCCAGTGTTGTTTCTGAGAAATATGTAGATTTTTAGTATGCAGATGAAAGTATTTCAGATAGAATATGTGAATTTAGGAAGGGTCACGAGCTTCAGCTTAGGGGTGTGGAAGTAGTATTTGGATTAAGAGTTTAGAGATGGTACAACCACCAAACTTGTATGTTTGGGTGATATGAAATTCCCCTCCTTTCCTCTCATCCCTCCACTCACTGGAGGAAATTTCATATCTATATTTTGCCATTTTGATAGCCTGATTCCTCAAGTTAAGTTTCCCTTTCTTGTTGTTTCAGATTGTAGATGCAGGAAGAAGACAGCAATTTATTTAGTTGGGTATCTAAATTTCTTCCCCCCCCCCATTTTCCCACTTCAGTTATTGGATAAATTAAAAGAACGTTGGATACACACTGGTTTATGGCATAATCTTGAGCTAGTGAAGACAGTCATCACGGAACCACAATGGGGACAGAAAGCTGCATTTGATGAAGTGTTACAATTGTACTACAATTCGATCAAGTGTAAAGGAGACCGAGGTATGTATATTCCTTGGCCACTGAACAAATACTGTCATTAATAAAATCAGTGCAGATTTGTGCTGTCAGTATTTACTTTATGTTATATATTCAATGTATTATATTTATTTAAATTTTATCTCTTGGTCCTAGGTGAATGGAATAATTGTTTCAGTTGGCATTGCCTCATGTGAATGCTATCGTGTGTATGTTTATAATACATGTAATCATTCTCTTATCTTCTTTATTAGTCATTTAAGACATGAGTTCTGACAAAGTAATGGACCTCACATTCATGTTCCATGTAACCCTTGTTCCAAAACATAACTGAAGAATGCACTCACTAAATATAGATAATTCATGTAAATATGGCATAAGTTGCCTAATAATAATATCCTATGAATAATGGAGCAGGATGACAGGTGCCTTAGCCTTGGAGACAGGAAGACCTGTATTCAAGTCCTGCTTCTGATCTATACTAACTGACCTTTGCATTGCTGAAAGGAATTTCTATATTTTGTGTTCCCTATGAACCAATGAAAACACAGATCTGGAATTCACCACCACCACCACCAAAAAAAAAAAGTCAGAAAGAAATGCATATGTGTATACATACACTATGACAAAATCTTTAAATAGCTAAGTTCTTTTACATGCTTTGTGTTTGGTGTGAGAGTTATAGGGTATTAGGGACTGGGTTAAAGCCATTTAAAATTGTTCAGGGAACTAATGTAGTAAGTAAAAGTAGTGATTCTAATTTAAATTTTGATTGCTAAGTCAGAATTATAATTAGTTCAGGCTTAAGGTTGCTCTTACAGTATTGTTCTATTGTGCATGTGATACAAGAGATTTCATGTCTGAATATGTTCACTACCATGTTATAGTTGTAATTTTTGTTCTAGCTGAGTTTCTTTGAAGACTTGATAATTTAATGGATCTGTGATTTCATTAGTATAAATATTCCCTCCACTGAGACAGATCACAAACTCTTTACATCTATTTGTCCTGTGTAATTATTATCTGTATTTAATATAAATCCTCAGTAGAAGGACCATCAAATCGAAGGGATACCCATCAACAAGCTATTGTATATGATTGTAATGGCATATTATTGTGCTATAAGAAATGACAAGCAGTATGATTTCAGAAAAACCTGGAAAGACTTATGTGAACTGATGCATAATGAAGTGAACAGAACCAGGAGAACGTTGTACACAGTAATAGCAATATTGTTTGATGAGAAACTGTGAATGACATAGCTATTCTCAGTAATACAGTGATCCAAGACAATCCCAAAGGACTAATGATGAAGCATGTTGTCCACCTCCAGAGAAAGAACTGATATTTGAATATAGACTGAAGCATGCTATTTTTTTACTTTCTTCTTTCATTTCCCCTCCCTTTTATTTGAGTCTTCTTGTATAAAATGACTAATATGGAAATGTTTTACATAAAGAAAAAATAGAGGGTCCATCAAAGCTCTGGAGATCTTCCTTTTCTTCAGTATTTCATGCTGTTCATTTGTTGTCTCTCAGTTTCACTATGTGACCAGCCTACCTCCTTTATATCGTGTAGCACAATATCAGTGAAAATTCTGCAGCCTTTTTCCCATTGTCCCTTGTATTACTTGTAACTTTAATTCTTCCTAGATCATGGTGTTCCTTGACTCACAGCCATAAATAGCATCTCTGTGAGAACATCAGTATGAAAGATGGGCTTTTGTAGGAGCAGGCAATGATGGGCTAATTTGATGTATTATTCATTTAGTTAATAGGTCATAGTTTGTGCAATGAATGTTTTTCATTCTCTTTGTTTTTCCAGTGTGTTATGATCATGCCAATGTCTTTTGCATTGCTATGGATTTCACGAAAGGGGGTTTGTGGCATTCTAGGGTTCTATGCAATTAATATGTTATCTATGATTAGGAGTGTTTAGAGAACCTTGCTGTCAATACAGAATCCTTTGCCTTGAAATTTACATAAGACATGTTTTATAATATTGATGAACTTTTTATTTGAACATGTTTCCCTTTTTAATGCTTCACTTTGTGTTAGTGTTCGGGAGATTATTAAACAAAGCTATCCCCACAATCTCAACTATTATAGAGCTTTGTCTGGCAAAACTGTTGTAGAGTTTTGTATGATTTTGACATTCATGTAGGAAGTATTTTTCATAAGCAGAGCCTTTAAGACTTTGTTTTATACTCAAATCAGTAAACATATTGGACTTTATATTCTCTCATCTCTGAATAAATTGAATGATTATAAAAATGTGTTCTGCTATGGAAAATCATCTGTAAAAGCCCATCTGTTCTCTTCTCATATTTTCATAAAATCTTAGAACATTATAACACATTCTAAGTGAAATCTCTAATCCCACAAAAGAGTTGGCATAACACTCCACATGGGAAAAGATAAAGTATATGGAAAATACATGTTTTCCATACTGTGATATACAATAGGATAGAGGGCCCCATAGAGTCTGTCATAGGTCTATTAGCACATTTCTCCTAAGCACTATAAATGAACAGTGAATTAGGCCCAGAATTGGATGAAAATTACAATCTCAGAGTTGGAAAGGACTTCAGAGATTTATCAAATCCGTATATGAATAATATTACCCTTCACAACATTCCCAACAAGTGGTCATCTCACTTTGCTTAAAAACCTCCCAAACTAGCCCATTCCATTTTGGATAATTTTGTCAGGAAGTTTTTTCTTACATTTACATATGAGAACATGCTTTATTGTATTGGAGGAATGGTGAAGTGCATTCATTGACCCCAGGCTGAAATAAAGGCCCATTTAATAAGTATCAGTAGTCTCCTGGTAATCTGGTATGGCTGTGTGGCTGTGAATCGTGGAATTCTATAGAAGTAAAGCAGCAGGTCATTTAAAGGACAGTTGAGGTTTATGTTGGGTGTGAGTAGTCTGCAGCATTGTAACAGGGAATTCCACACCAAAAAAAAAAATGTAAAAGATATCTGGGAGTTGTACAGATAGAAAAAGAGGTAGGTTGGTTTTAATATAAAAGTAGGGAATAACATGCCCAAATACTCCACTGCTAGTCAACAATAACAAACATTTATTAAATCAACAGGCATTTATTATGTCCTTACTATATGCCAGGTGCTGTGCTAAGTACTGGGAAGACAAATAGAAGCAGAAAGAAAAACAGTCCTTATCCTCAGGGAACATGCATTCTAATGGGGAAGACAAAACATAAGAGGAATCTGGAAAGGACAGAGGGAAAAGGGGGAGAAAGTTTTTGTATATACAGTAGAGGGAGTCAAAGACTCAGGAGTGGAGCTCAGGGAGGACTGAAGACATACCTGGCCTGGACCCCTTCCTTAAAATGGAGGTTCTGGGAGAAACTGGCCAATCAGAAGAAGGGGCATAATCCAGGGAGAGAAGTTGAGGGACAGGAGGCTACTGTGACAAGATAGAGACAGTTCAGAGAGTCAGGAATAGAACTCAAAGAGGAATGGGTACCCACAGGATGATACCCATTATAACACCAGGAAATCTGACTGAAGACCTTCAGCCAATCAGGAGAACTCACTCTGGTGTTGATTTGTCATCCACTCCACTGTAGACAGTACACAGGTCAGTGAGTTCACAAATCCATCCAAGTGCAGTAGTGAGGTGGTACTGCTTCATAAATTTGATAGATCATCTTCCACTCTAAGCCAGTGTTGCCTTTGGCGGCTGTAGCTCTCCACTTGGCAAATAGGGTGACTGTTTGTTGGCTGAGGTAGTTACTAAGCTCTTTTGTCCTTTCTGAGGGTGACTCTTTTGCACCAGTTAGATTTTTCAAGAAAATAGTCATGGAGTCACACTCTTCACTTTTGTCCATTCCCCCCCCCCCCCCCCCCGTTGATAACTTGTTAAATAGGTCCAGGCAGAGCTGTTCTACAAGTTTAAAGACAGAATACTTTAAATACTTTAAAACTCTGCAGTACATCATTATAATAGCCTATTGTTTTACTTAAAAAATTGTTTTGCTACTCTAATTCTGAAGAGAGCTGGTTTTAGAAGTTACAGGCATGGGAAAATCCCACATGTATTTCTTTTAAATAGTTATTCTCTTTTGCTTTAAGATGGTGCCCTCCTTGTGGCAGTTTGCCGAGGTAAAGTGAGTGAAGGTTTGGATTTCTCAGATGAAAATGCCCGTGCTGTCATAACAATAGGAATTCCATTTCCAAATGTGAATAATCTTCAGGTAAGCTATCAAAGCTGTTATGTTTTATTTGCTATAAAAATAGTTACCCTTCTTTGAAGCAAATTATAGATTTTGTTTATAATCTTTCCCTCTCATTTCTGTTAAATGACAAACCTGCCCAAGCGAGTAGTGTTTAAGTAGCCTTAATTTTTAAAAATGTTAAATTTATGTAAGTTTCTTTAGGGCAGCTGGTGGCACAGTGGACAGAATACCAGGCCTGGATTCAGGAAGACTCATCTTCCTGTGTTCAAATCTAGCCTCAGACACTCACTAGCTGTGTGACCCAGGGCAAGTCACTTAATCCTGTTTGCCTCCATTTCCTCATCTGTAAAATGAGCTGCAGAAGGAAATGGCAGAGCACTCTTTGTCAAGAAAACCCCAGATGAGGTCATGAAGAATCAGACACATCTAAAACGACTCAACAACCACAAAAACAATAAATTTCTTTGTCATGTAATGACTTTAGAAACCTATCCTATTTGGAAGTGATTTTTCATTCACAATTTAGGATAGGGAAACCACATTTTTGCTAGTAATCAATATAGCTTTCATTAAGAATTATTAAAAGCCTGTCACACATTAGGAGTGGAAGTTAATGTGTATTTTTATTTGATCCTATTTTGTTTGCTAGCTGGGCTTAAATCAAGAAATCATCTCATGTATATACCATCCATTCAAGTGGCTAATGGGGAAAGGCATAATATATTTTTACTTAACCACTGATGAACTATAAAAAGAACATATAAATATATGAACATACATTTTTTTCTATACACATCCTTTACTTTGTTCATTTATTTTACAGGGTGGTGGGGGGTAGGTGAAATCAGATCAATAATTTCAAGTCAGGCTTTGGATTGATAGCTTTGAAAAATCATCTAGGTGGGGAGGATCATTTTTCTTTCTAGAGGCTTCTCTTTATATTTTTCTTTATGAGTATTTGTTTTTCTCTTATATATGTTCTGTCTCCCCATTTGAGTTGTGAGCTCCCAAATGTTAAACATTTCTTTTGAAATTCCCAACAATGGAAGTTTGTGGTTTATTCAATAAATGTTGTTGCCTGCTTGAACTGGGTCATATGTAGGTACAGACTAATATTATTGGTGACTGTTAGTCCAGATAGGGATAGGGCTTTAAGCTGTGAAAGTGATCATGGTTTCCTCTGCTGTTGGAACAGGACTGGGAACCCATAGTAAGCCTGAGGAAAATAGAGGGGCCATGTGCTCCCCTGTACCAAGGAAGTCTTAAAGAGCCAGGGATTTTCACCAAAGCATAAAAGGGAAAGATACCATAGGCAGCATGCTGATTGACAACATAGGGCACCATAAAAGACAGCACTTCCAGTGTGCATTTGAGTTACAGACCTAGACTGTGCCTTGTTCCTCTGCGTGTATGTGTGTGTGAGCCCCCCCCCACACACCCCCCTCCAACTTGGTAGATAGCTGACTTACCAACATCCCTATAAGCTCCATGGAGTTAGGGACCATGTTTTATCTAAACTTTTTATCTCCCCAGGCTCATAACTCAGTTCTCTCTGCACGCTGTAATAGCAACAACAACCTTCATTTTTATAGCACTATGAAATTTGCGAAGTGCTGTAAACATGATATTTCATTTGATCCTCCATGGTAGGTGCTATGATAATTATCCCCGCTTTATAGATGAGAAAACAAGTGACAGTGTGGATATTTCATACAAGTTTGTTATAAACATTGAATTAATCTTTATAGTAAGGAGTCACTGCTGTTGCTGCTGCTAGCAGCATGGGGTGGGCCTTGGTGAGGAGAGATGTTTTAATGGCTTTTTAACTTTAAGTTGGGACTGAGAAATTAATTGTTCTGTTGTTTGCAGTCCTCTGCAGTACAGTCCCACCTACCTTTATTTTGCACAACTCTCTTTCGTGAGCTTCATGCTTCAGGTAAATAGGCCTTCTTATCCCCTCAGCTCCTATTGCCCTTTCCTAGTTCTCTGCACACAGAGAATTCCTCCCTTGGAGGAGTAGACCTCAGGAACCATTTCCTTTATTAGGTCTTCCCTAATTCCTCTAACTAAAAGGTTCCTCTCCTATCTCAGACCTCTTATGGAGTTTTTCTTGATCTTTCCCATGTACTTTATTATATTTTTCAATTCAATAAACATTTATTAAGTTCCTACTATGTGCCAGGCACTGTGCTGAGGACTGGTGATGCAAATACATGGGAGTGGGTGGGGTAGGGGTACAGGAAATGAAGAGATGGCTGGCCTGGGCCTCCCTCCTTAAATGGAGGTTTTGGAGGTCAGGGCTCCTCCTTTCAATCAGAGGGTACTGATGAGGTAACGTTTCTTTCTAGACTTATCTCACATTACTCCCTTTCACAAATTCTGCTTTCCAGCCAGACAGGCCCACTAGATGCTCCTGAAATCATTGTACCATTTCCCGTCACACTACATTCACACAAGCCAGCCTCTATGCCCAAAATGCACTGCCTCCTTATCTTCTTCACCTCATAGAATCCTTACCTTTCTTGAAGGCTCAGCTATCATGTCAATTCTTCTCAAAAGCCTTTACTGAGGCTCACCTTTCCCACCCTCTTCCAGAGTTGTCCCTTCCTCAAATTACTTTTTATTTACTTTTATCTATGCATGTAACAACCAATAGCACAGGAACACTCCTGAGTGCTTCCAAACCAAATTAAAATGTAATTGGGAAGTGTTTAACAAAATAAGTAAGAATACAATAAAGCACAGATAATAATACATTTTAAAACTAAAACAGTATGCAGCCTGTAGGGATCCAGATTAGTGGCTCTATTTGAATTTAAGAGCTCTATTCTAGGCAACTCTCTAATACTATAGTTTCAGAGAAGGTGTCAGCCTGAATTGGTAGAGGGAATTTTCCCACCCAGGAGTTCCGTTTCCCAGTGAAATCACAGGTCTAGTCCCTGTCACAGGTGCCTAGCATAATACTTTGCACATAGTAGATGATTAATAAATGTTTGTGGAACTGAAAAAGGGTCTCTGAATAGGCCAGGAAAATTGTTCTCACAAAGTCTTGCACAAAGAACTTGTAGGAGAGAAATAGGCCCACTCTTGGGTCAGAGCCTATTAATTTTTGATTGTAAAGAAAATTAAGATTATTTATTTAATAAGTTTAGTTCTCTGGTTACCTTTGGTAAACTTTAGTTCTTCCTAGATTACACTGTACAGCTGATTAGAAATTGTGAGATATGGAGGAGGAAAGATGGGATTTCCTAAAAGGAGGAGATTCTAGTGGCAGCAGATAAAATGAATGAAACTATCCAGGGACATTTAGTGCTAAAAGGAACTGGTGTATAATCTATTTCAGAAAATTTTCCATCAAAAAAGATAGTTTAAATAGTGTTTCTAGCAATGATGGATAGATGAGGTGTCATATATGATACAAAGGGAAGGTTTCCTTACTTTTAACTGATTTGCCAACATGATACATTCTCCCATCTCATAAGCCTTATTAAAAAAACAGCTTATAAGTAGAGCCATGAATTGTGTGTATGGAACTGATTTATTTCTGAGTGCTCCTGTTGAATATACCAGTATGACCCTGTAATGAGAAATCCAACTTCTAGGTTTATCAGAAGAGGCGTAATTGTTATCTTTAGAGAAGGGCAATTTTTTCAGAGTTGTAGGTATTTTTGTGAAACAAAACACTCCCTTTGGGGTCGTGTTGTTTAAAGGAATTAAAGGTTTAATTCATATTTTTCCTCACTGGAAATTTATATGCACTTAAAACTGTTTAATAATTTTGTTTGGGGTTTGGGATTTCCTGATGTGATATGTTGTCTACTACCTGAAAGAACAGAAGCATATAGAATGCTACTTGATACTTCCTTCCATTTGACGTTATACCACTGGCAAATCACCCCCTCATTCTATTTCATTGTTCTTTCCAGACTATCTTTTTCTGTGAATGAATAAACCAAGAGCTAGTAATACCAATACAAAAGAGGAATAATTTCTGTCCTCAAAGAGCTTACATTTTACTGGAAAGAAAGACTATGTAATGTCTAGGGCAGGATGCTTTCATCTAGGATGTCATAAGGATAGTGAATGGAGCCATAGGGCAGCCAACTGGTACCTCCTTTCCTCTTTTTCCTTTCTCTTTCTTGTTCTCTTTCTCCTTTCATCATTCATTTCTTTCAACTCTTCTTTCCTTCTTCTTTCCTTCTTTAGTCTTCCTGTCTTTCCCAGGCTGGAAGTGCAACAGCTACACATAGGCCTGACCTCATTACTTATTAGCCTATAAGCTTTGACCTGACCCATTCCTGAACTGAGTAGGTTTATCCCTCCGAGGGCAGCCTAGTGCCTCTCTCCCCACCCCTGGGGGCTCACTATAACTAAGAATTCCTCAGCTCGAACAGATCTCCCCGGTAGCAGAGATGACAGGCATGTACCTCCACACTTGGCCTGATATCTGTTTTAGAGAAATAATACTAATTTGCACCTGCAGCCATGAAACATTAGAGGCATTGGTTGACCCTCCTCGGACATTCTCTGGCTATATGTTTACATATCTATTTGTGACCTCTGTTTGTTTCTACTGTCCTGACTGATGCTGGGCATACTTGTGTACCCCAGGTTAATGGGAGAGATGTTTTGTTAATACTTTTCTTACCATGCTGGTTTAGTAGATGTCTTTGCTTTGGGTTAATTGTCTTCTCTTTGACCACAATTAGATAAATATGACAGTGGGGGCTTATGAGCTATAGTTTTGGGAATGTGGACTCACAAAGTACCTTGAACTTAGGGAAGTACTCCCTCCCAGGACCCCTGTGAGTAAACTGAGGGAATACACTATACCGTGGCACTGTACTTCTGCTGACCTTGATCTCATGATCCTCATCAGACTTTGTTCCACTGGATGCTGCCAGATAGTTTTGGCTTGACAGTGCTCCATTGGTCTGTCTACTGGTTGCTGCTGAAACCAGTGCATGACCAGTGTCATCACCACCTCTAGCTTCTGGTTTAGCTGAAGTCTTTGGCTA